ATATTCTTTAATTTTTATATATCTTTGGATATTATACATACGCCTTCACGGCCATAACATAGTTGCCTTCCGACTACTCATACAGCTCCGAGTTTGTAGTCGGCACTACACATAACAGGTGTATAACATGCGCTCTACGCGTATTCTTTTTTTTTTGTGCAGCACCGACTACTCTAGTCTTCTCTTAACGGTTGTACAAATACTAGAGTAGTACGAACTTACATTTGTGACTCACTGTTTACTTGCATAGCTTACATGGTCATGGTCATGAACCTCACGACCATACGCCGGAGATACAAGTGCTTACAAATATGGGCTAAACTACTCGGGGAATTTACACAGCCTAGCAAGAGCAAGACGTGAAAAAACTTTTACATGCGTTACATAATACTGGGATCCGCTCCTGACCTATTATTTAACATGCATATGACCTACTCCCGACTTGATATCCTCAATATCAATAACTATAAAATTCTGTATATTTATCTTGCAGGCAACCAGATCTAAACCATGTCTACTGGGTGAGGTACGCGCTTCTACGGGCTGCCTTACTCGAACCACTACTTTGCTGGCCTGCTGGATGAGGGTTCCTCGCCGTTATTCGGCGGCTCTTGACGTCGCTCATATCGTCGACTCGTTGTCATCTTGTCATCTCAAGACGGCCCCGTCATCAGCATGCTGTGGTTCACGTAGCCAGTACGCCACGGCTTGCATAGCCTAGCCGGTTTGGTCGTGCCTCATAAACAACATGAACCGCGTCGCTGACTCGTCATCATCACACGGCAACCCTCGCCGTCCAACATTGTCAACGACGACCCTCGTCGTCATCCACGGCGGCACTCATCGTCCCTTATTAACTCCGACATGACCAGGTTTCCCAAGCCGGCTTATGAGCCGTCGGACAACCGAGGTACATGCCAAGTCCGACTGCCATTTGAACCCTGTTCAAGTCTGACTACTACTCGGCTTATGGCTCATGATCGATGAACATGCAACGTCAACGTACGTGCTATCAAGCAAGCAAATAAGCTATCTAATCAAGGGATTGAGGCCTACATACACATACAAGACCAAGCCACCAAGGCATGCACATACAGGAATATATAAATTCCCTCGTTGCTGCTGCCGCACGGCTTTCATCAACAAGAGATCAACATCGGCTACTTGGCAACAATGAGCACTAGCAGTCTCAGCTGGGCAAGATTATTCGGTCAATCACCTCGAGAAGCAGCCGATAATGCACAGGAGCGGGCACGGCCGTGTCCACCTAGCCTCGTCCAACTCCGACTACTCCTGCCCTCGTCGTCAATGGCTCCAGTTATTGTCGTCAGTATACACGGCGGTTATCACCGTCAACATGCAATGGATCCGGCCGTTACTTCCTAATACAAGGTACACAACCAAGCGTTGTTAACAGCTTCGACAAGTAGCCATGCTGCTACCTTATGTCCGCTATAGAGATAGGCTGGCTACCACGCTGCCACATATCTCTACGACTAATAACAAGGTACACAACCAAGCGTTGTTCACATCTTCAATGGGTAGTTATACTACTATGCCCTCATTCATACGAGATAAGCTGACTACTTACACGGCTATACATCTCTCCGACTATAATGATGTCATTCGGCACGCAACCTTGACAAGTTGCATACGCTGGATACTAGGCTATATCACCTTTTTGCGAGATACGCCTGTTACTCGGACGACCTATGTCTCTATGGCCGGGAGCCAATTACCGACATTTAGTCTGACTATCACATGTCGTCCCGGGTAGGGTAATTCCCGGAAGTAAGGTACCTAGTTCGTTCGCTATAGGACGGGATCCTAACAGTGAACAATCACTACAAAGGCTCCTTGAACAAGTGTTATCACACACTTAACGTCGACGGAAGGGTCGAACATGATTTAAATCATAATGACTACGTTGACTACTTTTTAGCTCGGCTAATCCGTCCTACGTGCCTTTTTCAAAATGACTATACAAGACAACATAAGCCTAACTCATGAAGACTACAATCTCATCCACAGATTACCCAGTCTAAAAAACAACTTTGTACAAAAAGTTACTCAAACAAGCCAAGCCTCCTTCGGCACTCGGCTTACTAACTGACTAATAGAATCCATTGACGATTCAATACAGTCTTACATTGTCTACATGCTACAAGCTAGTCTACGACAAAGCAAAGATGGGAGGCTTTCACATGACATCCTATACTCGGGATCTACGACCTGCCGATTTTCCACTCGACCATCATCACGGCTTAGTCAGCACTAAGCTCGAGGGCTAGATTATTGCCTCAGCTTAGTCGGTACTAAGCTCGGAGGCTTGATCACCTACGGCGGCCCTCACCGCTCGCCAACGCCATCTGTTGTCAACAAACTTCTATGGCAACTCAGCGTCTAGATGCAGTTCACGACAGCACGCTTCACTATGCGAGAGTCAAGTCAGCGTCCACCAATATGGGACAAGCTAAGGCACTCAAGCAGTGGCACGCTGACCTCAAGCACTACACCATGACACACATTTGCCTATACTTATGTGTTGGCAAAAGGCATGTTTGGACGACATATTATGTGTTGGCAATTGTATATCGTTTTAATGTCTAATCATCTGTCGGCAATAAGACTGTAAGACTACAAATTATCTGTCGGCGTTTCTCTGCTGGCAGAAAAAGTGTCGGCAAAAATTAGAAGACTTAGAAAGTGTCGGCGTAGCCTATACAGGGCAACTGTGCAAGTGTCGGCGAAGGAGTACCCGCGTTGGGTAAAAAAATCTCCTCCCCTCCTCTTCTCTCTCTCTCTTCCCGTCTCTTCTTTCCCGTAGCGCTCTCTCTCCCTCCCCAGCTCTCCCGACGCGGCCACGGCGGCACCACCGCACCTCGGTAGCGCCGGCCCTCGACGCGGCAGCGGCTGCCCTCCTCCTCCTCCTCCTCCTTCTCCATGCCCTCCTCACGCCTCGTGGCCGCACAGGCCGACAGCGCCCCCCACCGGGTGTTGCACCAGTGCGGAGGGTGGCCGCCCCGGCCACGGACGACAGCGCCCCCTCCTCGGCGATGCGCCTGGGGCCCGCCGGTGGTTGCCAGCGCGGGTGCCACCCGGCGCTGCCTCCTTCCACCGATCCGCCTATGCTACTGTGGTCGACGAAACCCTAGCTGCCTCATCTCAATGACGCCGGATGCATCGCGAGCCACGACCGGCGTAGGCTGGCCGACCAAGCCTGTGCGTGGCCTCGTCATCGCCGGCGGCGGTGGCACCTTACCTCGTCCGCTGAATCTGGCGGTATGTCACCCTCTTCCTCTCCTCCTCGGTCTCCTAACTCCTCCCCCAGATCCTCTCTCCTCCACCTTTTCCCCTTTGTGCAGGTGATTGGGCGGCATTGGCTAGCACTGCTACTCTCTCAGAGTAGAAGTGGGGATGAGAGGGCGCAGCAAAAGGAAAAGGATAAATGGTGAGACTATTTCCCTCCACCAATTTTGTGGTTACTGTGTACTTGGGTTGAATGCTTTTAGCTCAACTCTTCTTTAGTTCATAGAAATGTCTACTAAGAAGTCAGAGTTAATATCTTGTGGCTAGAACACGAGCAATCACTCATTCCTCCAAATAATTACTATGGCACTTGCTTTAGAAGTGAATTAGGTTGTCATGAATAATCTTTGTTCAACTTTTATTTGTTCATATAAATTTCAATTAATGCCTTTTCTAACAGAACCTGTATTGCCCGATCTAATTCAAATGGGGTCAGTCAGACATTTTATCGGTTCTGGCTTTAAGTTTTCTACTATTAAGTAAAGTAGTTGTGGGACATGGAGAATAAAATGTAAAGCCACCGACACAACACCGGGTCACACCACACATATGTCTAAGCTTTAAGGTAGCATCCACATGCAACTGACCCAGAATATGTATACTCTGAAGTCTGCATCATTAGGTGATGGAGGCACCTACTAAACCGTGTACAATAATGTGTTATCATTTCACATCCCCGACTAGGAACTGGATGTTAAATTTGTCTTATCAAGAGCACCAGAAAAAGTGTACCATGTTTCTTTAGCATAATATCCTTGAAATTCTTGTGTATCTAAGGACATGGTTACTACAACATTGATTGATATAGAGAACAAACATCTTTTATTTGGGGAAGTCGGTTAAATTTTTGATACAATTGAATGTAGACTGAGATCACTAAATGCAACAGAAGCAACACACAAGGTTTAACTCATAATACTGATGCATAGGAACATGAATGAGTCACCTGAATCCCCATGGTGTTCTCGCATTCGCTTTCCTCGATGCGGTACTCATGCATCACCCAGTTGGTCCTCAGCCCCTGAGGAGCTCGACCCTTGTAGTAGACCAATGTCTTCTTCATGCCGATTGATCTGTTCTGGTAGTTGATTCGCCGATCTACTAGGCAGGAATGATTTCTCTTCCTAAACAAAGATATCTCAAATTTCAGTTAGGAGTGATGAAATCTTAGGATGAACAACTGAATGAACTTGGATTTCAGGTTACCTGCTAGCTCCCAATGCTCACATTTGTAGAGGTCTACTTCAGGGATTATGTTGAGCTCGATGCTGAGACCATGGACCTTCCTCTTGAGGTAATAGTTCACAAGCTCCTCATCAGTTGGATGGAATCTAAAGCCTGGTGGGAGATCAGCCGACGCCATGGCCTCCTAGCTCGCTGCCTCCTTTCTTGCTGATCTTTCTCTGTCTTTACCCTTTGTCTTTCCCTTCTGTTGCCGGCCACTGTGCTCTTTAGCTCCTCCGTGAAATGATTCAAAGCCTGCCCTACAAGTAGCTATGTTTCCCTTTACAGGATTCTCTCACAAGCTCTAGACGTCTTACAGCACCGCTGGATCTTCTTTTCTTATCTTTTAACGAAACAAACTTTTATTTTTGTTTTTTGTATAACACACCTTTATGATATTCATGCTAGTAGATTGTGTAGGGCTGTATTGGGACGTGAAAGTTGTCACGGCATTGCCCTCTTGTGCCATGGGGGTATGTTCTTTTGTTCACTGAACTTGTTTTTGTGTTTCATAGAAGCTTGGTCTTTGTATCGGGATCAGTGTTGCAAAACAGAAAGTTTATGGAAGGTAAAAAGAAAACTAAAGGTCCATGCAGCCATGAGGCCTTCCAGTGTCAATGAGCTTGCATTGCTATCTATTTAGCCATCTAGATCAGACAAAGCTTTTGGCTTTGGATTCTGATAAAGGAGTACTCGAGTACTAAGGATCGTCATTCTTATTTTGCTTTATTCGAAAGTTTGAATTGTATGATTGATATGTTGATTTGGTTATGGTTGCGCTCTTTGTGCTTGATGATGCAAAGTTTCCAATTGTCGGTGAGGTAGCTCAACCCGCGGCAGTACACTGCGGATATCCCGCTGGTGAGGTTTACTATGTTCTCCCATCTCTCTGATTTAATTACCTTCTGTCAAATTTGACCCGGAGGCAACTAGTTGCAGCTAGTAGGTTTTGAATCAGTAAGCCTTTGGTTCCTGATTCACTGGTAGCATAAGGATTTTAAGAGTGTAGTTTAGGTTTAGCTAGGGTTCCTGATTCACTGGTAGGATAAGGATTTTAAGAGTTTTAAATGTAACTTTCTAATCCCTTGGTTTGTTTGTATTGTAAGGTAAGCTTAACACTTAGGTTTAGCTAGTGGGAAATGACCACTATAATTCTGATGGTTACATGCAAGGCCTTCTCGATGTTTGGTTGGAGCAATGCCAAGTAGATGTTTCATGGTGCCTATTGACCCTTCACTATCTGAGGCTAATTATGCGATTCATAATATTGCATAGCAGAACCATGTAAACTACAGAACATGCTTTTCCATAAGTTACAAGTAGTCAATAAATTTGAGTCCAACTGGGTCCTTAGCATTTTCGAGTAATCTTCTAGATTCAAGAATTAAGAAGGCTTTCTTGGTTAATGAAATCTCTACAAGATCACTCTCACATCCCTGTTTGCATCATTAAAGCCCTGCTGGAAGCAAAACTAGCACACCCTATTACCTGCAGAGCATGACCTGTACGCAATAGCGATGAACCCAAACATCTGATTTGTAGCTGTATGTATTGAGGCTTTGTATCTTTAAATGGACTAATATCCAATGTGGAATCATTATATCTGCCTAAATCTAATCAATGTTCAACGGCATAGCCTGGGTCCTTGTCTTTTCTATTTTGCCTTCTGGTTAATGTGGTTCTCTTGCAGTCCAGGCATCCATGTTTAAGTTATATGCTCGCCCTCATTCATAGCGCGTCAGCCTTATTATGCAACATCATTTGACAATATTTGTCCATTGGCTAAACCATTGGTATAGTCCCTGTTCTTTTTTCCTCCCATTTTAAGTTTAGAGATAAGAAGTACCATGTTCGGTATAATCTCATTTAAGTAGTGGTATGCTGGTAGCATTGGAAGCTTACTTTCTTTCCCTTCACTTCAACTTTATACCTCCTTATTCGGTTTCTATGTGTGGATAGCTGGTCTGACACATTATGTGGATGGAGTGATTGATAGTTTCAATAGAATTCTTGCTGAGTTTATGCAACGCGCTGATATCTTTTTATCCTTTCCAGATTCCAAATTTGGAGGTTTGGTTCCAAAGGCCTAAGGACATTATTTGTAAACTTTAGTCAGGTGATCTTGACCTTGGTATTGTGGGTTTTGACATAGTTAGAGAATACGGGGAGGTAAGCTTTTGAGCAATCCTGTTAATTTTTTTTTCTCGAACACGCTGGAGGGCTCTTCGCCTGGATACGTGGTCTACAATGCATCAAACAATGAGCTTGTGAGGACTCAAACCCTTGTGAAGAGTGCCATTGTGCAAGTTGATGCTGCCCCATTCAAGCAGTGGTACCTCACTCACTATGGAGTTGACATCGGTAGGAAGAAAAAGGCTCCTGCTGCAAAGAAGGAATCTGCTGAGGTATTATTTCTTGCAACACAGCGTCTCACTGTTTACTATTAAATGTTTTTAATAAGGGATTGGCTTCATAGTTCATACATCATGTTTTGTAGCTAGCAAATATCAGCTCTTTCTGTTTCTCTTTTAAAGACAACTGACTCACCTCATTCTTATCCACGTTTCACATTTGAATTGCATGTTTTTGCACTATGAGTTTTAGATTTCTGTATGGAAAATATTAAATTTGATTGTTTTATTAATATATTTTGCTTGAAGTATTTCCATAAAGCAGAGATCTATAGTTAATTAGTTTTCTATCTTTAGTGTCTGTTATGTTTCCTCTGGTGGATCACTTATTGTTTGAGATTCATTCATCCAGGGACAAGAGGGTGAGGTAACAGCTGAGGAAACAAAGAAGAGCAACAATGTCAAGAGGAAGCTTGAGGAGCGTTAGAAGGGACGTGAGCTTGCCGCTTACATTGAAGAGCAATTTGGCAGTGGAAGCTTCTTTGGCGTGCATTTCTTCCCATACCGGACAGTGTGGGGCGAGCTGATGGGTAAGAAATAATGGACTTCCACCAGACTTTCTTTGTTTTTGTTAGAGCAACTTTTCTGTTTGTGTACCATTTAACTTTTGTAGCTTAAAGCTTAATGTTTGTTTATACTCTTTATGTTACAATCACTGTGAGTCTAGACATTTTAGATATGTTGGCAGCTGTCACAAATTTATCCTTCTAGGCTTCAAGTAGAATGGAAGTTGTCCCCTTATTTTCACTTATATCTTATATTGCAGGTAGCTCCTTACAATACACTTTTCTTTTTTTTATAACAGGTACATCCTTGAGGGTAAAGAGCTTGAGTTCTACATGAGCTTGAGTTCTACATAAAGAAGCTTCAGCGCAAGAAGAGCAAGGGTGCTGCAGCTTAGAGCATTCTCATGGATGGTCCTCCGAGGAAATGTGTGGCCTATTAAATATTACTCTGGCTTTTTTTTGTTAGTCCTCTCAAGTTCAGAACGTCTATGTCATGTTTTGCAGACCTGATGAGAACACTGTTTTCCGAAAATGAATCAACTCTATCTAAGCTCCAAAGAATTGAGATTTTCCTTCTATATGAATAACATTGGATTTGTCAAATTATTCAAATTGTATTTATATCTATATCTGCAGTACAGTTTTGCCGATAGTTTAGTTGTTGAACAGGGCATGATTCACAAAATACCTTGAAAATGGTTTCGCCAACACACAAACTGTCGGGAAAGGTTTAAATTGTCGACGTAGGTCTTAACTATCGACAAAGGGTTAACTGTCGGCAAAGGTTTCAACTGTTGGCGTAGGGTCCACCATTTGGCAACACAAAAAGTGTCGGTGATTTCTTTAACTGTCGGCGAAAGTTTTGCCCACAACTTATAGCGCGACTATTTTTAAACTATCGGCAAAACCTTTCGCGAGAGGTTATCTGTCGGGAAAGGTACCCTTTGTCTACATAAAAAGTGTCGGCAAAGATATATTGTGTTACAGTGAAGGTTGTCATCTTTGACATTTACACGCCGCTCTGCCAACTCGCCGAGTACTCGTGATGCGACTGTGTCATCTTACAGCAGACCGCGACATGCAGATCGCGACATCAAACCTGATCAAGCAAACAAGATAGCAAGTCCAACCCGGACAGGCCACGTCTGTATCGCATGCTGCTGGTTCTAGGGCCTTGACGGCTCAGCTACCAGCATGTACGGCAAGAGAGTCCTACTCCTACACGAGCTAGCAACGTGCACGCAGACATCTCAAGTCACGGGCTCCAACACAAGGACAACGCCATCTTCGACACATGCAACGTCAAAGTGGCATCGTGCCTTCACGGGGAGACTTAACAGGCAAATCAACAGGACATGCACGCAACAACTTGGCAAAGAACGACGGAGACGAGTACTCTGACCGGCAGCGAGGACAACACTAGATAACCTCAAGAAGAAGCATCGACACCAATGGCATGCAAGATTATCAAGGCAGGTTCCCTCAAAAAAAGATTATCAAGGCAGCATGCAGGACACACACGTGCGCTAATTGTACAAGCCACTTCTTCCTGTCCACGACTGTTTAGCCCTTGTTTAGTTCGCGAAAAGTTTTTCAAAAAAGTGTTACAGTACTCATCACATCGAATCTTGCGATATGTGCATGGAGCATTAAATGTAGATGAAAAAAAACTAATTGCACAGTTTGGTTGGAAATTGCGAGACGAACGTTTTGAGCCTAATTAGTCCATGATTGAACACTAATTGCCAAATAAAAACAAAAGTGCCACGATAGCCAAATTTCCAACTTTTCACCGACTAAACACGGGCTTAACAATGAGACACCGAAAGGGTTACATCAAGACGGATGCACCGTACCGTCCGCACTCTGACAACTGCCAGCAACTTCAGCTGCGCTCGCTCGATGACTACTTCAACTACTCGGACCTAACACACCAGTCAGGACGGGTTCCGAGTACTCGGCGGCGCGACTGTTCTGCACTTCATCCAACATGCAAGATGACGACACGCTTGCGAGCTATTGAGAGATTTAAATCGTACGTACACGGTCTTACTACAGGCGTACACGTACATACTCATCCATCTACTCGGATTCCACGCTGCTAAGCTCGGGAGCTCGGCTATTATCACGGCTTACTTGGCTTCACTCCAACTACGCTCAAGGGGCTCGAATTCAGGGATGAAAGATCAAATTTACAAGCACTCAATCACTCGATGACAAGCGGTCATTGATCATTGTCTTCGGGGGTTACTTGTAACAGAACTGACCAATTTATAAGAGCACAAGTACGAAAGCAATCACCGGAGTGATCAAACCGTCATACTTGAACTCATATAAACCCGGTAGTCAACTGAAACCACGAAGGATTTTAAACCAACTTGCATACAACCAAGATCATAGTAATTCAACATAACAAGCCACATGTTACATCCATTTCACAAGTAGTTCACAAGTACCTCATACATCAGAGTTCACATAGTTATTACAAAACGAGTTCACAAATAGCGGAAGCAAAGTAGTTTGAGACCATCACACACACTTAGTTCAAATACAAGCCAGTTCCATAGTCATATCCAACAAAAGCAGTAGGATAAGATAACATAGATGATCATAACCATGATCTAGTCTTCATCCCCCGTAGGGTGGAGACAATACTTGTAGTAGCCGTTATAGAGCACGTCATCTGCAACAAGGGGGAATAAACCCTGAGTACGAGAATGTACTCAGCTAGACTTACCCGACAAAACCAGAAATAAAGGACACAAAGGGTCATGCAAGGCTTATGAGGTGGGCTAGCTTGACACAGTTGCATAAAAGAGCTTATGAATATAGTGACCAATTTAAACTTAGCATCAAGCTTATCATCATTTACCTGTCCACTAGATTAGCACATGTACTAGAGCACTCACTTTTTAGGAGCAATCAATATTAACCATAGCAAGTATAATAAGGCTGTCATCATCATATCATCATTTCTGAACTATTATGTTATTTAGTGTATCTACTTTGGAGATAAGCCCGTCAAGTTCTCACTAACCGAGAGAGACGGCGACTCGAATCGAATTACAACTCAGCTGAGGGGGTATTCCTAACTCTCACCCTGGCATACTTTGCAAGGGTAGCCGTGGGTCATCTTTGGGACAACTCAGGAACCAAATTCGTGGGTTCAATCAATGTCAGCACTCTCAGGGATTACCCTTCTGCCAGGACGATCAGGACTTTTAAATCACCTACCCTTGGACTCACGCCTACGGCTCCCTTCCGAGGCGCACTTTATACTTATGGACTCCTGGCCTGAGGTGAGCTACTCGGCTTCGTGGTCGGTCTTCAGACACGGCCAACTAAGAGAGAGGCATGCGTTCAACATGAACAGGAAATGCTCCAAGATTCAGTCCTTAAGTGACACAGACGGAGTCACTACAAACCGGAAAGCCTCCGCCCGGTCTTCATTTCAAATTAAGATAGGTTCTTTTCCACGATAGCAAATATAGCCAACTGTGCCATATGTATATTCCTATATCTCGTAGGTGACAGGAAATCACCTTACTTCTACCATGTTTAAGCAGGGCTAAGCACTACACGAGCCTGAGCTACATAGGATTCAGGGTATCAATATCTGGACAAGGATTGGATAACCAATGTAGCAAGTGTTTACATCCAACACCTAAACTTAATGCAACAATATATATATGTAACAATAATACTTTAATAGCATTTCAGAAATTAGGAGGCTTAATATGCTCCTGGGCTTGCCTTTCACAAAGTTGCACGGACGGTGATCTGGGCACTCAACGGTGACCTTGTCTGGCACTTCTCCTGAGGGCTGCACCTCCTGAACCTCCGGTGTTGGCTGCTGCTGCTCCCCGCTCGGTTCCTCGAATTCCAGCAGTGTCACTCCTTCCGGTACACCTATTGCATGCTGATGCACAAGATAAATATCATGGATGCATAAGGAATGACATGATGCTCATGATGAATGGATCACAGTAAGTGTTTAACGAAAACATCACTGGGCACTCGTTTACCGACTAAGAATAGCTCTATTCAAATCACTTTAAAACATGTATCTAACTTAACTTGAAGAACGAGATTGTCGGATACCGCAAGAAGGGGTACCCTAAGCAAGAACCAAAAATATTGCTTAAACCTTGCAAAAATCAAAGCCGAAAGTCTACCACAAGGTCTCAGTAGATTCTCCGATTCGCCCAAGGCCTTGCGCCGAAGCCTCATGCGAAAGGCCAAAAGCTCCCCACCCCGCCGAGGCCCTCTCACCGAGGCCCTCTCGCCGAGACCCTCTCGCCGAGGCCCCACCCCGAAAGGCCTCGGACGGGATGTCAATTCTCCGATTCGCTCGAGGCTGGGCTCGGCAAACAACCTCGTTACCTCCGTCCCGACCGAACTCCTCTGACAAAACGTCACGTCCGGATTAATGCGCCCAACTACTCTCTCGCAAGCGTCACCGCATGCGTGGGTACACAGTATGGCAGCAGAGCGATCGATGGGATAGGGGACCGAAGCGCAGCGGGGTTTACGCCATTGTGCTTTCACATGTGCTCCATCGATACCATCTTCGCCTTGTGCTACCTAACCCCTGCGCCAAGGATGAAGCGGCATGGAAGGTCAAGTCTAGGTCCCTGTAGTCTCAGCAACAGCAGGAGAGCCCAGCTGCTCGTTCTCCGCCTCATCCAAGACCCCCCGGTAGGGCCTCAGACGTACTGTTCTTTCTCTGCCTCGGCCGAGGCTAGGCTCGTCCGCATCCTCGTCACCTCCGCCTCAACCATCCCCCTAGCAGGCTGTCCCATCCATTTAATGTGCCTGAATGCACCCACTACGTCAGCCACGACCGGCAGGGTACAGCAATAGGAGCGATGGGACAACGGTCAAATCTCCTTTTTTACCATGCCCTACACTTTTCCACCTA